TTCAAAGCTACTCAAATACTTGCATTGCGCTAACATGGTGGTCGGTCACATGAGCATATATGTTATAAACATTGAAAAACTTTATGAGTTTGTGTTCCGGTGGTCAGGTGGGGCGCATACCGTTCGACCAACAGATTCATAACTTCGAGACAACGTTAAATCAGGTTGCGAGCAAGTCCGGTGGTGCAGTGGCCATAGAGGACTCGGTGGCTCGAAGCTTATTCTTCATCGGAATGGGAAGCAACGACTATCTCAACAACTACTTGATGCCTAATTTCCCTACTCGTAGCCAATACAACGCCCAACAGTTCGGCGATCTCTTAGTTCAACATTACACCAATCAGCTCACCGTAATACATAACAAAAAACAATTTATCTCTATTCTTAATTAATAGTACTAATTACGCAAAAAGCTAAAAAATGTAATCATATAAATGTGTTGTTTTTTTGGTAACGCAGACACTGTATAATCTCGGTGGTCGGAAATTTGTAGTGGCCGGACTTGGAAGAATGGGATGCATCCCGAGCATTCTAGCTCAAGGAACCGATGGTAAATGCTCGGACGAAGTGAACCAACTTGTTCTTCCTTTCAACACAAATGTCAAAACAATGATCTCTAATCTCAACCAGAATCTCCCGGATGCTAAATTCATTTACCTCGATATCGCTCAAATGTTCGAAGACATCATTGCTAACCCAACAACTTATGGTAATAAACGTTATATAACCTTAGCTAGACCAACTCTTAGTATGAATGGCTAATGATGGTCTTGTGGATTGGATTTATTTGTAGGTCTTACAACTTTGGACAAGGGATGTTGTGGGATAGGTCGAAACAGAGGACAGATCACTTGTCTTCCCTTTGAGACGCCTTGTCCAAACAGAGATCAGTATCTTTTTTGGGACGCTTTTCATCCTACGGAGAAAGTTAATCTCATAATGGCTAAAAAAGCGTTTGCTGGTGACCGCACTGTCGCGTTTCCTATCAACATTCGGGAATTGGCTAGTCTCAATTAGAGACCACCGATTATAAAGCAATCAAGAAGAAATTAAAAC